CACCCCCTGGTGGGCTGAGCTGGCCCCACACACACATATAAATAAATAAATAAAATTTAAAAAAAAAAAAGAGCTTATAGTGCACTTGATGAATTAGACTGCATGAACTTTAGTTTTGAAACAAATGCTAAAAAAAAAAAAAAAAGAAAGAAAGAAAGAAAGAAAGAAAAGGGAAGAAAAAAAGAAACAAATGCTGGTATAAAAATATTTTTCTCTTCACAATAGAATTATGACCCAGATTTAATATAAGTGGATATTACTGACTAAAATGAAATCCTGTTGTTTAACTCCTAAATAACTAACAAATACAGCACAGTGCAAAGGACTCTGACCTGAGGGTCACAGGAGAGGAGTCCAGTGCCAGGTCAGTTACACAAACTGACTTTGTTTCTTCTCTGTAGAATGCTGGCTGTGGAGTGCACTACACAATACTCAGAGGTAGCTCTCAGTTTAAAGTATGGGGTTTTATGCTCCTGTAGCTGTGCCTACTTAGCCTTGTAGAGTTGTCCTTTCTGTGGACCAATCTCAGTAACATCTCCTTGCCTCTTGCATTTTATAAAAGAATTATGTCCTCTTAATGCCATGCGGGTAGATTAGCAAATGTACATGGGCTCATTAGCAAATGACTTTAAAAATCAAAATTAAAAAGATCAATAGTTTAATGCCTGTCTCAAGTAAAACAATTAGTCAGAATTTGAGAAGTTAAATAACTTATTCTAAATTGTGAGAAAATTGATGGAGCAGTCAAGATAGGATCCAATACAATAACAGACAGTTCCTGCATCACAGAGCTTAATGTCGAAAGTTTATTTGCGAGTCTCGCTAGTGGCTAGGGGTTCCACCGCGTCACCACCATCATTTGTACTCTATGGGGCAGGCTGATGGAGCGGCCTGTGATAGAGCTTTGCTCATTGTTATGACCAAGGGAAGAATAGAGCAGAGTAAATTGTGCTTATGTTCTTGAAGTGTCTCTCTGGGAGTGACAGATCGCTTTTGCTCACCTTTCAAGAGAACATGGCGTATGAGCATTCCTGAGTTCCCAAGTGGGTGGGGAGGTACAATGTCATTCTGCTCACCAGGCAGTAGAGATCTGGAAATAATTGGAGTACTGCAGGTGCCTAGCATAGCCGGACTGCAGGTGAGGCCAACATTCTAATGAGCAGCATCTTTCATACAAGCAGTGGTGGCGAACCTACAGCATGTGTACTGCAGTGGGATGTTTGGGATGTTTGTTATCATTGAAAGCTCTAAAAGGTTTACCATCACTGGCATAGTACATTAATTAGCCCAGGCTGCCATTTGAAAATATCACAAAGTGGTGTGTTAAAACAGCAGAATTTATTTTCTGACAAATTTGGAGGCTAGAAGTTCAATAACAAGGCGTAGGTGGCTTTGGAGGCCTTGTCACTAGTGTGCAGATGACCTGTCTTCCGTACGGTATATGTCCCAATCACCTCTTCTTGTAAGTAGAAAGATCCTACAGGACTAGGAACTACCCTAGTGACCTTATTTTAACTTAATTACCTCTTTAAAGCACTATCTCCAAATAGTCACTTTCTGAAGTCCTCTGTGGCAGGTCTTTTGTATATCAATTTGGGATGGAGGTGTTACATAATTTAGCCCACAGCAGAGATAATGTTAAAATCGGGGGTTTATCTCCATAATTGGGGCTATAACAATTATAGAAATAGCCAAAATTTTTTGATACATCTTATCCCTATAGTTGATGCCAAAAAGTCTGGCAAGATCTATATTTGCAAATAAGTCACTTCTTTTTAAAATAAAAATTGCACTTACCTAACAGAATTCAGATTATCAACAATTTTTTTTTTTGCAATTACAGTGATATTCCATTAATGGAACAGTTATTGCGTATAAGCTGTATCAGAGACACACCTAATCCACGGATGATTAATTTGTGCCAGGCACCACCAGAACCTGCTTTCAATTTCCATGCCCGGTCACAAGCCACGTTCTGTCCCCAGTGAGGATAGTTGCCACTAAAAATGTCACCCTGAAGGAACTAGCCAAGAGACACCCTTAGGTAGAGTGTTAGCGCACAAAAAGATTCCTAAACAGTTCAAAAACAAGTATCGCACAGCCTTACATTTTAATTGTTTGTTTAAAAGGTGTTGCACACAGGTTACATAGACAAGGAAAAACTTCACTAAATGTGCTGTTTTTAGTATTTGTGTCATCGTTAATGTCTTTCTCCTTTTTTTCTTTTTCATGCTTTTATCAGCCTCCATGGTTCCCGTTTTTGCCACGCTAGGCTTTACTTAGTGCACAGGAACTTCCCTTTTGTAATTTTCCTTCAGGTCTGAAGTCCTCTGCTTGTAAAGCTGCTGTCACGTGCGCGACTCCCAGCTCCACTGAAGCATTATCAGTGTGTGGCCTGGGCTGTCCCCTTTTGGGCACTGCTCGGGACAGGGCAAGAAGGTCATATAGGACTCTTGGGTAGGCAGGGATCCTGGAACTTGTATTTTGTTTCCCCTTTAAGAAGACTAGGGGCTGGTGAGATGGCTCAGTGGTCTAAGGCACCTACTTCGAACAAGCTTAGCTAAAGCACAGAGACCATGGTTCAATCCCCCAGCACCACATGCCAGCCAGCCCCGCCCCCTGGTGGGCTGAGCTGGCCACGCACACACACATAAATAAATAAAAAATTAAAAAAAAAAAAAAAAAGAAGACTATAGGTTTTTATGCCTCTGTTATAACAGGCCTCCTCTTTCCATACGCTGATTTTCCTCTCTCAGCAAGTGTGGCCTCCCACTTTTCTGCGTTCTTCCTCGACAATGCTGGGAAGCTGACAGAAGCACCTGGCCCTGCGTGTGCGTCTCCTGTAAGTTTATGTAAAGAGCACGTAGAACATTTCGCCTCTTAGCCTCTTAGGTTCTTATGTGCCTATGTTTAGTTTTTATTTTTCTTCAGGGAGGCACAGAGTTGTCCGGAGCCCATCTGCCTCTCCTTTCCCAGTCCTGTCTCTAGGGAGCCAGTGAGCTACAGTGCCTATTGTAGAACTTTTCTGGCCACAGCCTTCAGAGGGAGTGAAGCTGAGCACGAGTCTAGCCCCATGACCCACTCTCTGTTTGTCTTTCTCTAACCTTTGTCTTCCAGTGATTAGGTGAAGTATGTTTGCTTTCATTACTGTGAGTTTGAAAATCAGCAGGAGGGCCTTGGGCCAGCCACCCCTGTAGCCTGTCCTTTGTGTAATGTGTTAGGAACTGCATACCGGCAAGCCAAGTAGTGACAAGAATAGCCCAAAGAAATGATAGTCTTTGTTCTTAAGATTTGCAGAACTGAAAAGCACGTCCTGAGCAGGCAGCGAGGGCCACACATGTGTCACCCGCCCCCCCGCCTCATGTGAGAAGGCCCACGTATCTGCAGTCAGCCTTCACCTACCCAGAGAAGGGACCATGGCATCTGAAAAGACCCATCGCCATGCATGTAAAGCACGCCTAAATCATCTTCCTGCAAGGTGGACTTCATGACGCCAGAGCTCTAGCTTCTTGTCCAGCTGGCTTCCTTGGTACAGTGGCAGCCCTTGCCTCGACCTCCTATCCCTCCCTTAGTTGGCCTGTCTTTCGTTCAGCTACTGGATTTGGATCTGCTAATGGGAAGACAGATATAAAGAAACATGATTAAAAGAAAAACATAGAAATTTAACTTGCGGCTTCTGGATGGTTAACAACCTAAGTTTGCAGACCAAAATTAGAGAAAAAAAAGAGGGCTACAAGGAAAGCCAACATTTTGGCCCTAACCTTCTAAGGTCAATTAAGACTCAGGACATATGAGAAC